CCATTCCTATAACATATAGTATATATTTTATTTAGTAGTTGGCAAATATCCTTATTGGATACCTATAAAATGGAGTAAGGGCTATTATGGTAAGAGTAAGTAGAGACCACTGGACAGACTATTTCTTTACTACAATATAGCAAACCAAAGCAACTAGACAACCCTGGGGAATTGCAGATTAGTGCCAAAAAAGATTGGAAAAATGCTGATACCAAAAGTTCCTCTCTGCCAGGATGCAGGTAAGCAGAAGCTTCATTGATATGTTAATATTTTATTCTTCTACTTTCCTTTAGGAAAGTTACTTAACCTCTATTCTTTCAGCTACCTCACTTATAGTTACGATTAAAATATTATCTACTTCATGAGATTCTAGTGAAGATTCAATTAGTTAATACACATACAATTTAGAAGAAGTTTCTACCATACATGTTCACTGTAATTCAATCAACCATGTCAACTCCTTCTATTCCATTCTCATAAATGCTATCATTCTTGAAGGTGTCACCATTTCCCCACCAGATTACTGTAGTAACCTGTTATACAGACTCCAAATTTTCATACCTTTCCTATACAATTCATACAACATTATACACCTAAAGTATTCTACCACAGATACAAAGTAAATAATAAGGTATGAGGAACACTGCAAAAGAAACACTGCAAAAGAAACACCACAAATGGCCAGGAGTGGTGGCGCAGGCCTGTAATCCCAGAGGCTGAGGCAGGAGGATAACTGTTCAAAGAGTTCAAAGCCCACTTCAGCAACCACAAGGCGCTAAGCAGCTCCATGAAACCTTCTCTCTAAATAACAAAAAATAGGGCTGTGGATGTGGCTCAGTGTTCAACTGCCCTGAGTTCAACCCCCAATACCCACCCACCCACCCCCCCAAAAACTAAATACCACAAATGAATAGACGAACTTAATGAAATGTTTAGAATCTTTACAAATCTTGACCATATCTCAAATATTATATTAGAAACCACTAAAAAGCAATACCACCTAAACTAGGTCAGCCAAGGATCAGAAAACAAAAGCAGTGGCATATTAGAAGATAACTAAAGTGAGTCCACTCATCTTAATTTTTTCACAGAAGAGATCTCACAATGGGCTTACTGTTATTTCATGCACAACTCTAAAAAGCTTGGTTACACAAGCTTTCATACTCCACAATAAAGAAATAAATTGTAATCAGAAAAAAGAAAAGAGGAGAAGGATTGAGAAATGTACAGAAGGACCTCAGAATCAAACAGATCTGAATTCTAATTCTTAGCTAGTCTTAAAACATCATTATCTGAAAGAACATACAGTGTTCGAGTACTGTGAAAGGTACACTTATTATTCATTGTAATTTTTAGATAAAACTTACCACAACAGACTTCCTCTGGAAATTTATGTTGTTGATGCAGACAACTTGATGGGTTGTATATTAAAAAATACAAAAGGATAAAATAATTTCTATTATTACATGAAAGCAAACTCTATCCAAGTATAAATATATGTTCTAAGCATGCGTGTGCCTTTGCGTGTGTATGAAAATCATATAATCCACATAAATTCAAAAATTACACGTTAATCTTTCATTTAAAAACCCTACAAACTGGAATGATTTGCTGGTTTTAAATCTAGCAACAGCCACAAAACACAAATTTCTTTAGACAGAAATAATTTAGTACTTTAAGAAAAAGATTTATTAAATCTGCATGGTGAACTATATCTGCTAATTGACATTGCCATTCATAATGATCACCCTACAAAGACCACTTCCATCACAGCGAGAGGACTCTCGTTTCCCACCGTTTCCAAGGCCCACCAAGTCGGTTTCAAACAATTACAAACTAAATAATGAGAAAAAAGGGGGAGGAATGAAAGGATACTTATAATTTATATGGCCTTGGGCTTTCAAAGCCCTTGTCTCCTTTCTTCCTGTTCATTCTGAAGGGCTCCGCACCGGTCGATGGCATACAGCGGCCCGCGGGGCTGGGCTTCCCGGCTTCCCCGGGGGCTACGGGGCATTACCGGTCTCGGGAGCCTAGCTCTTCCCTGCCCCGACAGTCACGCCCCGCCTCCGGGACACCCTGGGCACCCAGACCGGGCTCCGCCGATAGACTAGGCTCCTTTCAGCCTCCTGCGTCCAGCTTCTGTCACACGGACGCCCCTCTCTGCAACCGCTCAAAGGGAGCGCCAGCCGACATGCTGCCGGTTGCCTTTAACCTCTGGCGTCAGCGGAAGTTGGACGCCTCCGGGGGCGGACCCGGAAGTCTCCCGTCAGTGGGCGGTGCTTGCGCGACAAAAACGCGGGAATTTTCTCATTTCCTTGCGATTGTTGAAACTTAGAAGAATGGACAAAATAATGGATGAGAGGAGAAGCGCAGTTAGGGAAGAGACATTAAAAGTTCTTTTATTTTTTTTTTTGTACTGAAGATTGAACCCAGAGGTGCTCAACCACTGAGCCACATCCCCGACCTTTTTTATATATTTTTCTCTTTTTTTTTTGGTACTGGGGATATAACTCAGGGGCACTCGACCAGGGAGCCACATTTCCCCAGCCCTATTTTGCATTTTATTTAAAGATAGGGTCTTGCTGAGTTGCTAAGTGCCTCCCTGAGTTGCTGAGGGTGAGTTTGAACTCGCAGTCCTCCTGCCTCAGCCTCCCCACCGGCTGGGGTTACAGGCATGCGCCACCCCTAAGGGCTAAAGTTTTTAAATAAAGGCCTACCGCACGCAGGTTGTGAAGTGCGGGGGAACAAGGTTTGCAAAGAGCCTAAGAATAAACAGGGTAGGGGCCAATATTGGGGGCGCTTCTCAAAACCAAGAGGAGGGATGTGCTTCTGGCTTGCTGTATGGAGACACCACGAACTCAACTCATTTGTACCCACTGATTTAAACTGTAGGTAATGTCCCTATACTGCAGGTAGCCTGACAAACCTGGAGTCCTTAGTAGGCACTGCTGACTCAATATATGCTGCGTGTGCCTTTGTGTGTGTATAAAAATCATATAATCCACATAAATGCAGAAAAATGTATTGAAAAAGATTTTTCATATTCTTGTTGGTGAATTATAGCTGTGCAAAATGGTGGGGTTTCTTTACATGCTCTTACATAAACACAAATATAAATTAACCAATACCATTCCTCAGTATTTCCTCTTTCCCTCCTCTTCCCCTCCCCCAGTCTCTTTATTCTCTGAATGCCCTTTGATCTGCATATTTCCCCAATCTTTCTTTTCCTTTTTCCTCTCTAGCTTTCACATAGGAAACATACAAGCCTTGACCTTGTGAGTTTGACTTATTTCTGTTACCAAAATGGTCTCTAGTTCCACCCACTTTCCTGCAAATGACTTCATTTTTTTTTATGGATGAACAAAACTCCATTGTGTGTATATGTCACATTTTCTCTATTCATTCATTCATCCATAATTTGGCTATTGTGAATTATGCTGCTATAAACATGAGTACACATGTATCATGGAGTATGACGACTCTAATTCTTTAGGACAAATACCAAAGAGTAAAAGAGCTGGATCATATGGTGATTCCATTCCTAACCCTTTGAGAAACTTCCAGACTGATTTCCATAGTGCATGTACTGATTTACATCCCAACAATGGTGCAAAAAGTGTTCAGTTCTCCATGTCCTCTCCAGCCAGCTTTTATTATTTGTATTCTTGATGACTGCCATTCTGAGTGGTGTGAGGTGAAATATCAGTATAGCTTTAATTTGCATTTCCCTAATTGCTAGTGATGTTGGACATTAAGATCATTTGTTCATTTATTAGTTTACTTGGCGTTTTTGTTGTTTTGAGTTCTTTATATATTCTGGACCTTAAATCTGTCAGAAGAGTAGCTAGATATCCCCATTCTGTAGATTCTCTTTACATTCTTAATGGGTTTTGTTGCTATGCAGCTTTTTTTTGGTGGGGGGTGGGGATTTGCTGGAGAGCTAACCAGTGGCACTTAACTGCTGAGCCACTTCCCCAACCTAAGTCACTGAGATTACAGGTGAGGTGTATGCCACTGCACCCAGGGTGCAGAAGCTTTTTGATTTGATATTGTCTCATTAACTCTTGTCATTCTTTCCTGAGCTTCAGGGTCCTATTAAGAAAGTGGTTGCCTGTGCCTAGATATTGGAGTGTTGACCCTATGTTTTCTTCTAGGAATTGCATAATGTCTAGCGTAATTCCTAGGTCTTTGATCCATTTTAAGTTAATTTTTGTGCAGGGTGAGAGATAAGAGTCTAGCCTCTTCTAATATGGAAAACCAGTTGTCCCAGTCCCATTTGTTTAAAAGGCTGTCTTTCTCCAGTTTGTTTCTGGCACTTTTGTCAAAGATCAGATGACTGTATGTGGGTTTGTCTTTGTGTCTTCTATTCTGTACCACTGGTCTATGTGTCTGTCTTTATGTCAGTACAATGCAGTTTTTGTTACTATATTTCTGTAGCATACTTTGAAGTCAGGTATTATGATACCTCCAGCATTGCTTTATTGGTTTAGAACTGCTTTGGCTATTCTGGGTCAAAAGACAAGCCTTGACCTTGTGAGTTTGACTTATTTCTGTTACCATAATGGTCTCTAGTTCCACCTACTTCCATTCTTCCAAATGAAATTTAGGACAGTTTTTTTTTTTTTTCTAATTCTGTGAAGAATATCATTGGTATTTTGATGGGAATTGCATTGACTCTGTACCTTGAGTTTTGGTAGTATAGCAAATTTAACAGTATTAATTCTGCCTATCCAAGAACATCAAAGGTTTTCCATCTTCTTATGAAAAAAACATTTTGAAGTCATCATGTTGCATTTCACACGCATGAGAAAAAAGCTGGTAAACTTCAGTAACAGTTAAATCTTGTAATTATGTATTAACACTTTTCGAACCTTGGACCAGATTTAACTTGGCTTATCCTTTCCTTCTGTCCTACTGGAAAGCTTATTAACTAAAATAAAATTTGGTCTAAACAAAAACAAATTTTATCAAGCATTCCAACTCCACCTAGAAATTACCAGTAGTTTTCTAATGAGTTTTATTTGTGCCAGGATTATAAACCGATCTATAAGATTGAGGATTAAACCCATTTTGTTTAAAGTGCATGTATATACCAGCTAAGTGAACAGGGAAGCAATTACCAAGCCAATTTCACAAATCTTAACAGTACACTTGATAACACCTAGTGACATCCTGTTTCTGTGAAGGTTGAAAGTAGAGAAGAACTCAATTGAGAAATAGCATGTAAGTGACTAGATCTCTTCTAGACACTTATTTTCTTATCTAGAAAACTTTTAAATAATGAGAACATCAAATCCTAATTAAAGGTGTGAAATTTATATACAAAAAGCAATGTCCTTTCTATAAATAGAACCATGTAGACATCAGAGACTACAGAACTACTTTTCTATTAAATATAGGAAATAATACTTTCTCGTGCCCTTGTTTACACTGAGTACATACAACAAATGTAATATGAAGAATACTGAAATATCCTGTTACACTTAAAAAGTAAGTAGTAATAGTTTCAAAACATTAAGATGAGAACAAAAAATGCATTCAAGGAGTAGGTTTTTAAAAGCCAAAATAAAAATACATAAAAGAATCTTTTTCTTATATCTAGCAACTTTATAAAGCAATTCAGTTCCAAAGAAAAAACTCTTGTTCAAATTTTAAGTAATGGGTCTTCTTGAATTATAAACTTTAACTCCATTTTGCATTGAAGAACGTGAGTATTTAGTGAGTAATGCACCTATGGTTTGCTTCTCTCCACACAAATCTCTGTGGGAAGGAAAAAATAAACGAATAACATGAAAATCTTAGGAAGCATAATATAAAGTACTAATTATTTTATCTTTCTTCCCCTTAATCCATCTTTCAAGTAGGCATAAGGGTATGTTTTGCGGGGAGAAACAGGGTGGGGATTGGTTAAGTCTTAACTGAATGGGTATATTACATTACATTATTATTTTATTGAATCTTCACAGTAGAAGCAAGAGTGATATATTATTTAGCCCTACATTAGATAAGAGGAAGAGGCTCAAAGATGATGAACAACAGTCAAATTTTGCCACCAGGTCTTTATGACTTCAGAGTCCATGTTTTCTGTAATATCATACAATTTCTAAGGTTAGAATTCCAAGCAATGTGATACCCTGGAGTCTGGAATGAGAAAATCTAGATACTAGGCCACCTGTGTGAGCCTGTCTATGCTACCTGCCCTTTTTGAACTTGAGCTTCCTTTTCTGTACCTCAAAGAGGAGAAGATTATGTCCAGAACATAATGCAGGGAGGGAAGACATGATGAAAGGGGAAAGGCCTAGATCATAAATAACCATGAAGACATGAAAGGGAGCTGTGACTTAATTCTAAATAAATAAGAAGCCCTAAGAGAGTTTTAAATAATAGAAAAAAAGCATAATGTGATCTAAGTTTTAAATAATAGAAGCAACAAGTCAATGACTAAGAAAGACGGGTGGGGGTATGTGGAGGGTTCACTATATTATATTGCTGCTTTTGAATGCTTAAAGCTTTTCAAAATAAGTAACATAAAGAAAGGAGAGGGAAAGTAAGAAAAGTAGAAGGAGAGAGCCCAGTTCAAAGATGACCATCAGGATTTACTCATACTTTGCCCCAGAAAGTGAAGGAAGGCAAGGACAAGAATGGTTTCTAGACTTTTTGCTTGAATAATGGATGAGTGGAGGTGCTACTCACTGAGATGAAGAAGATGAAGAGTAAAGACAGGAAGAATCAATGTTCTGTTATGAAATTCCTATTAGATATCCAAATGGACATGTTAAGTAGGCAGCTAAATATAATAATCACAGAAAAGGTAAAGTATGAAGATAAAATGAAGAAGTCACTAAATTTAAATCCAAGATGAGGGCTCCAATGGAAAAGCATGCACAGAAGAGACAATAACCAAGAATAGAGTCCTAGAGCACTTCAAAATTTAAAGATGGGGAAGAAAGGGAGAAAAAAGTCAGCAAAAAGACATAAAAGGAGCTGCCCTGGGGAAGAGAGGAGAAACCCAAGATGTTTCAAGAAGGGGAAAGTGGCCTACTCAAACAGTGCTAAGAGGTCAAGTAAACAAGGACAATTGGCCACTGCATATAGGAAGATGGAAGTCATTGGAACCAGGAGATGTCACTGGGTAAAGGAAAAAAAACAGAAGATGAAAAAGCAGAGAGTAAATATACACATTTTTAAAAGGTGTCTTCTTGTAAGAGAACGTATGTAGCCAGTGTTTTCTTTCAAGACGGACAATACAGACAATATTATAGATATTGTGCTGATGGGCTGGAGATGTGGCTCAAGTGGTAGCGCCCTCGCCTGGCATGCGTGCGGCCCGGGTTCGATCCTCAGCACCACATACCAACAAAGATGTTGTGTCCGCCGAGAACTAAAAAATAAATATTAA